TTTTTTTAAATAAATAGCTTTGGCCCGATGCACGGCCCGATCTGGACCATGGCATGGCACGGGCCTGGGTCGTGGGCCGGGCCGACCCCCYAAGTTATCCTAGGGAGGGCGGCACAACCCGCACTTTGCGCCCACCSCCCACGGGGGCACAACCCGTTTTACACCTCTAGGGGAGGTTAGGGAGTGTGTAGAGTTATTGGGATGTGAAGTTTCAAGTTGGGAGGTGGTGACTAGGAGTAAAAACTTGGGTGGGTTGGGACTTGGGAATATCAGGAAGAGGAATGTGGCTCTTTTGGGGAAATGGTTATGTAGGTTCTCTTTAGAGAAGGAGAAACTGTGGGCTAAAATTGTGGCTAGCATTCATGGGATAGAGGACAACGGATGGGATCCTGGAATTCAGGCAAGGACTACAAGTGCATCCCCTTGGAAAGCCATTCATGACTTATTACCAGTTTTCTCCCCTCTTATCAGGTTGACTTAAACTCAGACAACCTTATAGAATTTTGGGAACAAACTTGGGTGGGGAATGCCCCTTTGAAGGATCAGTTTCCATCCTTATACGCCCTCTCTGACTTAAAATGAGCCAATTTCTTCCTTCACTATCCCATCTTCAAACACCAGGTTTGGGTGGAATTTGAGCTTGAGGAGGGCTGCTAGAGATACAGACCTGAACAGCATCCTGAGTCTCCTAGGTCTTCTTGAAAATATCTTCTTGGACCCCACAAAGGAAGATACTAGAATTTGGACCCCCACCCCCACAGGCTCTTTCTCTTGTGTCTCTTTCTTCAAAGTCTTAATTCAGCCAACCAGCCCTTAGCCCCCTAGGCCTTCCTTTCCTTATCAAAGAGATTTAGTGCTGACCAATTCCTCCTAGGGTTGGTAGTTTTTGTTGGGAAACGTTTCTAGAAAGAATCAACACTATTGATTTGATTTAAAAGAAGGGACCCAAGAYATGCTTATCCTCTCACTCACAGGTGTATTCTTTGTAAAGCTGATGGGGAGACTGGTTTTCACCTATTAGTGTCATGCCAGTTTGCAAAGACTTTGGGAATGGGCTTCTTCCCTCTTTGGGCGTAGTTGGATCCCTCCATTGAACTTGCAGAGCCTTTTTTATTCTTTTTTCAGGTGGCATCTGAAAAGGGATAGGACTATGTGGAGATGCCTAAGGGCTGCGGTATGCTGGTCTTTATGGGAAGAAAGAAAGTCTAGGATCTTCTTTGAAATAGAGAGAAGTGCTGAAAACCTGAGAGATATGATTCATATAAGGGCGGTATAATGGCTGAAATCATCAGAGCTGTTCACAGATTTTACAGTGGATGATCTGTTAAGGAAATAGGGAGAGATTGCTAGATGCGCCCATGTCAAAATAGGACTGAGTTTGTCTCGTACCCCTCCCCCCTCTAGCTTTATGAAACTGAACTTTGATGGTAGTAGTAGAGGGAAATTCAGGAGCTGGGGGTGTGTTTAGGGATGAGAATGGGAATGTTTCAGCCCTGTTCTCAGGTCCAGTTGGGATGAGTGATTCTCTCAGTGCTAAGATCTGCAGTTGTGGAAGGTGTCCAAAGAGCCAAGGTTCAAAATATTGATATGCCCGATACGCCAGTAGAGGCATATTGGGCAGTATCGATARCTTTTTTTTATTTTTTTTTAGTTTTTTTTTTCAAATCTGGTTTAGAGGGGCCYGTTTAATGTCCACCCACCAAACCGGTCAAGGCCCTGAAACACCCCATGTGGAGTCGTATCGAAATTTTGAACGTTGCAAAGAGCAAAGGAAATGAATATAAGAAGACTTGCAATTGAAGAGGATTCAGAGGTGGTTGTAGGGTGGCTGAATAAAGAGTTAAAGACAATACTGGGTTATGGAATTACAGCAATGAAAGGAAAAAGTTTGGGTGGCTGGTTAAAGACATGGAAGTCGAGATCAGTTGGGTGAAGAGATCTGCTAACTCGTTTGCTAATGGGTTAGCTAAGCAAGGGTTGGCGAGGGAATCTATGTTCTGGGCTCAGTTGTAAGTCTAATTCCTATTCATGGGGGCTCAAGCCTCAGTTGGAGGAGATAAGAAAGTTTTTCTCCTTTGTAATTATTATTTCTGATTGATCAATGAAATGCATTATTGATCAACAAGAGATTGGTTTGTTGGTAGATGGGTTAGAACTTAGAAGGTCAGCTAATGGTTTGGCTGACTCACTAGCCAAACAAGAGATAAACAGGGAAATTTATTCTGGGCTGAATTGTAATAACAAAATCTTTTGGGGGTTGGAATCCCTAAATTTATGGATTGGACCTGTGTACCTTATTTAAGATTATCCAAAATTTAATGAAAGTYGCAGTTTCCTATAAAAAAAAAGTAACACTTTGATGTGACATTTTTCTTGTTCTCCTTGATTATTCAACATRAATAAACAGCTGATGTACATAATGAATGCCATTCTTCCTATAAAATAATTGTAACAAACATAAACCTTTATACATTTTTTTCTTTAGGTTTAATGTTAAAATTAAACTAAATATGGAATATCTTAATGCTTTATACTTTTCTTTAGATGTGTCTCTGAGTCCTTGTTTCTTCGTTCTTGCTGTGTTGGACCTCCTGGACATGTGGGTTCTGATTCCCATGTCTGTCTGTTACTGCTATGATGTTTATTACCTTGATTAAACCTTACTTGGTTGGATACATGTGGTTTCAAATGTGGGATTTTTATTATTTCACTTGTTCTGATTTGGTATGTACATTTACAGGGTATTTATTACTATGAAGGAACTACATGACTTCAAGGACCAAAAAAAATTTCTTATTTCCCATGTTGCACTCCACTTCTAAGGTGAGATGTTCATATTCAGAACTGCAAGGCTACTAGTTTAGTTGCATGAACATTGTTCTGAGGCAAGCAATCTGCAGTTCAAAAAGAAAGATGAAATATAAAATATTGGGTTTGTTTGTTTATCACTCTAAAGGACTCTGYCTTGGAGTTGGAAGGGTCTATTCCAAATCCAAAGCAGTTATGGGGCGGAGCTGGCCTGATGGGTACGTGAAGGTTTTGTAGCCCATGGGCTAGAACCAGGCCTAGTTTTAAAGCCCATTTTAAATAGGCTGTTCTTGAACCTAGTTTATTAGGCCCAACAGGCCATGGTTGGCCTGATTTTCTTTGCTTGTGATGCTGTATTGTTAATTTAAGTTAGCTATAACATTTGTTTTATAATTGTTTGTAGGGATTGTGTCATTATTTTGTGTTGTAGATGTCTGCATGCTTAGATCACTTTATTTTAATTTTTGTATAAGTGATGCCATTTATATTTTGCAACAAGAAGATATGGATGTATTATTTTTTAATGGACCAGCCTAGTGTCAGGCTAAGAGCTAGGTTTGTAAAACCTCTTAGGCCTGARCCTTGGCTGCACTTTTGGCCCATGGGTGTGCCTAGGTGTGATTTTGAGGCCCTTTTATTAAACAGGCTGGTCTGGGCTTGGTATGGATCAGAGCAAGCCCAGGGGTGCAACTTGGGCCTGGTTAGGCTGAGCCCAACCCAAAAAAGTTGGGCTGCGTTGGGGTCAGGTTAGGGTTGAAAACATGAACCTGATTTTACTTTGGGTTGGGTTAAGGTTGAGGTCTTGGGCAACCAAACCTAACCCATGTTTTATTGTTTGTATGGCAGGTTAGCCTGAGTGCAACCTGATTTTGGGTTGGGTTAGGGCTGGGGATTTGGACAACCCAACCCAACCCATGTATGTGCCAAGGTTAATCAACCTTAATTGGCTAATGACAAGTCTAAGAAACGTGGACATTTTTTTTTCTGAAAGCAAAAGGAAGTGAAGAAATTGAGCCAACCTGAGCCCTATTTGTTACCTTGGGTAGGGTCAGGGTTGACCTCAACCCAACATAACCCAGCCAGACTTAAGTGCCTTAGTCTAGTCGATGGGAACACCTGAAAGCAAGCACTCATCCTTTGTCCCTTGGGATTGCAGAATATCAAAACAACTTGTAAAATTCCAATGAACAGAATGCAAGTACCATTAAATGTTTTAACAGGAAGAAAAAGTTGGAATAAATTGAACTAAAGGTGATTGCGAAGGGAAGTTGCATAGGCTTCATAAAGGTTCCCTTTTAAAACTAGARTTTGCCATATTTCAGTTGTATTATTTCCTGGTTTTGGTCTGCATTTCCTCATCATCTAAGCCCTATCCCAACTAGATGGAGTTGACTACATGAATCCTGTCTTGCCATCCATTTTGTTGTCTAATGTCATACCCACTGTCAAATTATGAGCACTTTGATTCCTCAATTCTTGCAAGAATGAAATGGGCAAATTGGAGATTGTGTAAGGCTGCTTTTGGTTTGGGGGAAGATTTTGGTGGGATGGGCTAAGGATGAGAAAGGGAAAATGGGTGGAAAGATTACACGCTCCAATTTTGGTTGTAAAAATGAAAATAGTGGGAAAATCAACCTCAATAACAAATATTAATGGACTAATAATTTTTTATTAATTAATTCATTAATAATTAWTAATTTAATTATTTTATTAATATTTAATAAATAATTATTAATTTGTTAATGAGTCTTGGGTCTAATATTAACTCTTAAAAATACTACAAGGAAAGTGTATTTTCTATTAAACAAGTTTCCCCCTCCTTTCCCACTTGTTTCCCACCAAGATGGTGGGTTTCACATCCAAAGAATTGAGAACTATAATCCCATCTTTTTCCCATCTCGTCTCATGACATCCCACCAACTAAACAAGGCTTAAAAATCCATCACTACCTTTAGTCCAACAAACTTCACTCTTCATAGACAAGTAGGCATGCATACACACACAAGCACACACAAAAAAAGAGGTTCCTAAGTGACCTACTTGACGATGTTCACTCTCTGGTCAATTGGGGACCCTTTGGCCTCTTATCTCTAGGATCAATCTTCTGCACCAAGAAACTGTTATTGTTAATATTGCTTTCTGTGGTACTTGAAAGAAGTTGGCAACCAAGAAATCATCCCTCATTTGACTATTTTGTTTCATTTTTCTTTTTGTCCCTCCTGTATATTTTTTTTCTAATTTATTTTTGAAAACTGTAATTATCATTAATTGTATTAAAATGAGTATGAGTTGGTGTGTAGCATGTAGCTATACACTAGTAGGTGGAAAATGTATCATATTGGCTATACTACCTATTGCAGTTCGAATCCAGACAGTAGGTAAAGAGTAGAGATGGACGAACTGAGCAGGTGAACCAAGGTGCTTCCCGAGGTGTGTTCTCGGGGTGGATCTCTCTGATGATCAAGTTAGTAAGCAAGCAATGAGTCGTTGGATTGAGTGGAGGAGGCTTGTTGGTGACAAGAATGGGAAGATAAGGAGGCAAGAGAGTTGTATTGAGTGTCGTAGTATGAACTAGTGATTTAAAAGGCATGCCTGAGGCGCACAGGCGAGGTGCATTTTAGGGTATGCACCTCGCCCAGGTCCTAGGTGCACCCCTTTTTAAAGGTGCACGCCTATGCACCTCGCCCAGGTCCTAGGTGCACCCCTTTCAAAAGGTGCACGCCTAGTGCACCTAGGTGTGTACCTAATGCGCCTTGAGTCTTAGCCCAAGCGTGTACCTTTTTAAAATTCTGCACTTTTTGCTTCTTTTTTGAGCCTAACGGCTGGGCCTAGGGCTCTGCCCCAGGACCCCCGACCATGCCCCTCGAGGCAAGCCCAAACAAGTCCATGTTAGGGTCTTAAATTCTTATTTCTCACATAAAAAATAATGATTTTATAACTTTAATCGCCTTTTAAGAAGATATTTTATTGGAATTAATGAATGAACAACATTAGCAAATAGGGGGATCTCGGAGCTTCAGCGAACAAATCATTATTTTTTATGTGAGAAATAATACTTTAAGACCCTAACATGGACTTGTTTGGGCTTGCYTCGAGGGGCATGGTACAAAGGCGACTCATAGAATCAGGAATGCAATATGTTTTACATCACATTAGCCTACTTGAAGTAATGCAATTGAGGAGAAAAAGAGATTGTGGATTTTACATGGTTGAAAATGCTTTATATGTTTGATTTTATTTTTAAAATTTCATTTGAATACGCTTTACATGTTATGTTTATGTATTTTAATTTTAGATAATAGGTTTTTTAAAACACTTTTTTAATTTAAATTTATATTTTTTTTAACATTATGTTTAATATTTTTTTATTTATTTTTATTTTTTTTATTTTTTGAAATTTCTAACATTTTTTTTATATTTTTTTAGCATTTTTTTCTTTGTAATTTTGCTCCTTGCTTCAAAAACCTGCACGCCTCGCCTTGCGCATTGCGCCTTAGGCGCAAATTGACCCTTGTGCTTTTTTTGCACCTTGCACTTTTAAAACACCGCTATACACATACCTTGTTTTGGGGATGCTATACATGTAAACACGAGATGTTGTGTTTGTTGAGGAATCCCAGTCCTATAGGGAGACGGGTGTCAAGACCAACATGGGATTCTCGATAGCGCATCATTATTTGGTGGTGCTTTACGTATGGACAAGTTAGGTTGGTTGTTGGAAGTTGAGACCGTTCGGATTAAGGGGGAACTCTATGGTTCGTCCAGGACACACAACAAAACAAACTTGGGCCAAAAATATGGTCTTCATCATTTGCCCCCTACTTTCGAGATTGAGGTGGTTGCATAACCAACCCATGGGGGCTTGGCAGGCCTACTCTTCGATCGACACCCTCATCTCAAACTCCGAGAGTATATGATACTATTGCTAGATCCTAACTATGTCTTCCTACCTTAAACTCCTCGAGTATATGATACTATACGATGAGCCAAGCACCCTCCTCGGGGCTTAGTAGGCTCACTCCTAGGTTGGCGCCCTCATCTCAAACTCCTCAGGTATGTGATATTATCACTAGATCCTCGCCATGCCTCCTTGCCTCAAGGTACTCTTGATAAGCCATGCATCCTCCTTAGGTAGCTCCTCGATGACGTGAACGACCARGCCCAAGGTTCCAACCTAGGGGCATCCTTGTCCTCATCCATGCCAACTATGTCCACCTCGACATCCCCTATACAACCACGATTTGCAAACTCCTCAGCCTTGATCTCTAGATTAGGCTCGCTCCTAGCACGGGAGCAACCAACCACAATATTGTTGTCTTCGGCCCCCACACCAGCTTCGAGATCCTCATCCCCCACTAAGTCTTTGAAGTACAGCCTCGGCCTCAACTTTGAAAGCAAACTCTTCCCGATTTGATAACTAAAGGCATCAATCTCCCTAACCTCGTCCATAACGGTCTCCTCAACCAAGTCAGTTAGGTCACTCGCTAGTTCTAACGTCGAGCTAAAACGCTTAAAGCCACTACTAGAATAACTATAACTAGAACTGGATGAGGACATAATAGCAAGAGCAAAAAGAACTTGCCCAACCAACCTTCCAAGTCGAGGATGTCAACTAGCACCGAGCCAAACTCCTAGACGTCCCATCTTTACAAGTACTTCTTAGAAGTACTTATTTTAACAATCACTTATGGCTGTTTGGTAACCCACTTTTCACTTTACTTATTATGTTTTTAAGCACTTATTGGGGTGGGGGTGTTTGGTAAGCTACTTTCCCCATAAGTGCTTATATTGACACAAATGACAATTTTAGCCCTCACTTCACCCATACATACATATATATATATATACATATATATATGTATATCAGCACTGTTTTCTGCCGTCAATGGCCCGGTATCAAGCCTGGTACACTGGCCGCCATCCGATACACCAGTCGTCGACGTCATGCTGGCGGAGAGATAGAGACAAGGAAAGAGAGGGAGAGAAAAATGAGAGAATGAGTGGGGGTATTTTAGGCATTACAAGAAAATATTAGGGACTGGTTCGTCCCCTTTTTTTTGGAGTACTTCTTACCCTCTTTTTTACCAAACACCCATAAGTACTTAAAAACCACTTAATGTGTGGTCCCATTAGTACTTAAAAACCACTACCAAAGTCCCATTCACTTGAAACTGTGTAAAGGACCCTCAATGCTCAAATTGGCCTACCACCCATGGCCTAGATCTCACCCCGATTTGACAGATTCCATGTGTCCCTCAATCGAAGGGTCACATGCTGGGGATAGAGAGTTTCATCTTCACAAAACAGCGGCATGGCTCAGCCTTGGCTCTTCCCTCGAATAGCAGCATAACTTTCTTTGACCCAATCAACTCCTTACCGCTTTAGTGACAACCACCTCAGTCTCGAAAGTGGGGGCAAATGATGAGGCCCATATTCACGGCCCAAGTCCATGCTACTGCATGTCCTGGACGAACCAAAGAGCTCCTCACTGACCTGAATTGCCTCAATTGCTGAGTTGACCAGCTTGACTTGCCCACACGTAAAACACCACCAGATTAAGGACGTGCTATTGAGAATCCCAAGTCTTCACACCTCTCTGTAGGACTGGGATTCCTCGCCGAGCACATCTCCTATAATTATAGTACGACATCCCTAGAAAAACTTRTGCATACTATTACACTCAATACAACTCTCTTGCCTCCTTGCCTTCCTACTTTCCTCGCCGACCAGCCTCCTTTTTCGGTTCGACAACTCATTGCCTACTTAACATGCTTGAACATCAAAGAGATTACCCCAGGGGCACTTCTTAGGACTCTTTGCTCTATTGCATTCTGATAAGGATCAAAGCCCATCACAGGCCCAGAAGCCCATGCCCCCAATCATTAACACTTACCAGAGGAAATGCCAGGGGAAGTGGGTCCAACCCCACGCATTTATGAGTAACACGTCAGCTGGTCCCTCTGTCTGAATCCGTTATACTAACAGAGTTCATTAAAGATATTTTGATTGTAATCCCAACTATATACATATTCTGGCTGGCCAATAATGAAGCATGAATATTGAACCTACTCTCTCTCTCTCTCTCTCTCTCTCTCTCTTCCTCTCCCTCTCAGTTCTATTTCAGGAGGCTGAGTCTCCCCTCAAAGAGACTCCTGATGGTCAGCAGTAACTCATCTCATTCTTTGGAAGCACTGCTCTTTTCTCCTGCATGGTTTGTCCTCTCTTCACCTTTTTATCTATTTCCCGGATTTGGAATGCAATTATTTAGGAGTCATAGGTTTTATGTCTCACATAAGTTATATTCAAGACATTGTTTTCATGATATACAATTTTAAATCAATGTTAGTTCATTTTGTTCAATATCTATTAATATTATTAATGTATGATATGCTTAGATGGAAAAGTGGTAAAACTAGGAAGGACGATTAGAAATGAAGCCATACAATGGAACCTAAAGTAGCTCCAGTAGGTGATAAAATGAGAGAAAGTAGATTGAGATGGTTTGGTCATGTACGTAGAAGACTATCTAGACTATCTACAACACCTGTTAGGAAAAATTATTTGTTACAAGTTGAAGGGGCTAGAAGGGCAGACTTTGTTGGAAGTAATGAGAAATGATTTAAGCTCCCATAATTTAATGATGGATATGGCACTGAATGGAATGGAATGGCGAAACAGGAGCCAACTCCATATAGTTAGGACAAAGCTTACATGTGTAGTAGGTGTAAGATGTTAGTTGGAGAGGGGGGGGGGCTGAAGGGAGAATATTTATTTAGCCGACTCCATAACTGTGTTGTGGAATGCTTGTGGTGTATATGCATCAACCTGATATCCTTGGGGAGGACTGCCATGTATACTTTTGCAGTCTTGGCAAGTCTTGTACGTCTTTATTTCTTATGTTATTTCCAATTAACTGAGCTATCTATCAACTTGATATCTTATGGAGGACTGCAGCATTTATCTCTGCAATCTTGGAAGTCCTTGTTTATGTTTTGATTTCTTTTATCTTCAGAATTCTTATTTTTCCTTGCTGATCTGTCAGTGTGTCATGCAGAATTGCTTGTTGGGGAGCCAAACAGCGGACTCAAAAGACAGCCATTGACGAGAATAAAGTGCATTCACTATTGAACAGAATATATTTAAGATAAAATGGTAAAAATGGATAAAAATATTTGAGATTTTTGAGAACTGTTTGTTGCATGTGTGGTTCCCCCTAAGAGATCTTGTAGAAGGAGGATCCAGAATAATGGGTGAATAATTCGATGATTATTACAGAACCCGTCTTCCCTTCATCACTTGGTCAGGAATTGTGCACCGATTGATATGCTTTTGGATGTGATGGTTARTAACGATATTTCATGGTATGTGAGTCGACCAAAAGAAACTGGGCTACATTTATATGGATTTGGATTACTTGAGTTATTTCAAGTCATGTGTAAAGACGATGTGAAAGTACACGTTTCCCCTGGTGTTTTAGAGTTGCAGCTCTGGATTATAGTGGTCTTATTCAATGTTTTGTACTTGATTTTGAGTTTAATGAACAAGGTTGAAATTCTTTTCCCAATAAAACGTTTGGG